TATGTTATTCTTATGTATAAGCTATATTACTGAAAAGTTTCATCAACATTTGTTCACTAGTTTTTGCGTGAAACAGTAACAAACATCGGTCCATTCTCACAAACGTTCGCATTTATATTATATATAAATGCGAACATATATATTAATAAGATAATGAACGGCAAAGGGGACGGTCCAAATGACGGTACGTGGCAACCTCCGCTTATAGGGGTATTGTTCGTATGTCACGTATATCAAGCCATATTGACCTCCACGCGGTTCCCCTGGAAACCATCATGCTAAATTCCTGGTAAATTTCTTACGATAACTGACCTAACCTCATGTTCATCTTATCACCCTCCACCAGTGCGGTGCCCCGACAACGTAAACCGTTAGAACAGGCGGCGCGCAATGTTGATGTGGAATAAAAAAGTGATTCCAAAAAAATAACCTATTTGAAATTGACATAATACTTAATCTTACCACCCATTATGTTTATGTCCGGAACGGTTGCCAAGTTGCGACCATCTGGTGTACCTATTAAATGTACCCAGAACACCACTCAAATGCGAACATTATGATACGATGTTATAGCTGTCGCCATTTGGCAAGCGGTGTCTATTTCGCTACATTATTCTCTACAGAACCATGAACTTTTCTTTTTGGCGAGTTGATTATGTTAGTAATGAGTAGTAGACCCAGGACAATTCAGACAGCGCCATCTAGTCCCGCAAGGAAGACTTTGTTTTACATTATGTAGAAATCTAATATTATTATACTGGACTTAGTCACGTCATAATTTTCATTTAATATTAATATTTTACCTTTAATTTTTTAATAAATATTTATTCAATATTTATTTTATACAAATTAAATCAATATTTACTAAAATAATTTAACCTCTGTCTTAAATTTTCTATTATATTATGACTTTAACAGACTGTCATAAATGTCAAGAATGGCCGGAATTTGAAACGCTTTGTTATGTTCTTATTACAATTTGTGAACTTTGCCCGTTAAATAAGTTATAAAGCCATTGTTTTGATTTTAAACTGATATCGCTTTGGCATCCAATCATTGTCCTATCATTATACTGATAATTTGACGACATTGATTGTTTCTTGTTTAAGACAAATAGGTACTACAACTAAAAACATGATAGGACCGTTGCGTCATCTGCAACATTTTGCATACGTCGGTCTCGTTTAAGACAAGTTGATATAACTATGTAATATTATGTTATCTGTGATATAACTGACTGCAGGTGTACGAGTGTGTTGAAATAGACGATGCAAGAACTCCCTTTTTTCATTAATAAAATTAACATTTTGATTTTTTATATATTGGGAAACGGAAACAAGCTATCGGTCGTTCTGATAGTAAGTGGTAACCGTCGCATGCATGAATAGCACTGAAGACATTATGAGTTCCCATTCTATTAGATGTTTTGTCTCCATACTCTATAATATCTTCTGATCATTTACCATATCACTAATAAGCAAGGGGTTACAAATTTATTAACACCAAACTTCTTCGTGCATTATATCCTCTTTAATGCTGTTTTTATCAACTCTACGAACGCTTTACATTATAATACGACTTTAGATATGATTAATTTCGTTAATGATTCAAAATTTAATTAAACTTCGCAACATAGACCCTAACTGGCGAATATAACTAGTTAACAGGTAATTAAAAAATATAACATATCCAGGAGAAAAAAACACATTTATTCGTGATCATGTTTGTACACATATATTATATGTATATTGTATAGAGAAAACATTCATCTATACATATCACTACTTAAAATTATTCGAAAATCAAATTTGAAAATTATTTGTAACTACCTGTGTCCGCTCGAAATTTTTAATCTATCTGATATAGAAGCTACATTACTGTAACTTTTTATCAAAATCCGTTCAATAATTTTTGTGTGAAAGAAAAACAAACAAAAAAATTAAAAAAAGAGTAATCCATCCATCTACTCGTATTTATCCATCTATAATGATAAACCTTCGCGGTTATAATATTAAAAACATTGTATTGATGAAACATTCACCTGTACATATTACTACCAATACAACAGTGATGTTGTTCAGTGTTGTATTGTTCGTTTCCAAATTTAAAATTATTCGAAAATCAAATTTCAAACTTATTTGAAAATTCATCTAAAGTCACTCGCTGTCACTCCGCACCGATACTTCGCTTTGTCTTCATTAAGAACCTTAATGGCTAATGCTTGCGAGCCAGACTGCAGAATCAAGAAACTTTGTAGTTCTATTAAAATGCAAATACGATGGAACTCGCAACCTGGCGCCGAGGCGTCAGCCGCGTCGGCGGCACCCTTGCATTTTAAAGGTAGGTATTTATATAATCAACGGAAATTCGAGAGATGTTTATCGAAGAAGATAAAGTTTTCTTTTATTTAAATATTAAATAATATAGAATTTGATTCGGATTTGAGCATAAAGCAAAGTAGCAAACTGCATTCAAATTCTTCATTTAAAAATGTAGAATAGATTCGAGAATAAAGCAAATATAATAAATAGCATTTAACATTGTGTACGTTAAATTACATACTAGTGTTAATTGCAATGGTGCAGTGGTTTAGTATCCTGCCTTATCTTCTGATAGTCGTAGATCAATCCCTATATAATGTAATGTTACATAACTATATAAAAATAATAAAGAAATATTTTTCTGCATGTATTTCAATACACTCATATATACTTTGTATATTCTTTTATCCTTTACCTTTCCTTACCATTTATACCTTAGTATATTTCAGATCACAGAATTAATCATTGTTAATTTTGTTATTCTGTATTTTATAGTAGATTAGATATTAAATAATGCATTGAATTTTATTTAAAATTTAAATATTTACTTACAAAACAAATTGTGGTTTGGTTTCCTTATCTTCTTAAAAATATATATTCATAATAATTTGTACCTTCCGTCTCTTGCTAGCCATTTTTCAGCCTTGGTCACGCAATTATGGTATTTCAATAATTGAATAGGACACTTCGCTTCTAATTTTAAATTTCTGTTATGGATTTAGGTGCAATATTTTTAATTTAAATATATATACTTAATTAAATATTTATTATATTTAATTAAGTATATTTATCATACCAGAGGAACTTAATAAGCAGTTGTTAATAGGTAATTATTTGGATCTGAAACACGATCGATCTGCTAGGTACTAATTGACAATTAAAATTGGAAATTGTATTTTTGATATATTCTGTGGTACTCAGGATTGATTACATGATAAAAGAGTAACGGGTTTCGTTATTCTAAATTTGAAAATAATATCGAATTCTAATTTTGAAATAATACTTATAATAGTAGAGAACAATTTTACACAAATTACTATTTAAAAACAGAAATTAACTAAAATTAAAAAACTAAACTAAATTCTACTCTTAAAAATACCCTTCTTGAACAACCCCATGCTATGGTCTTTCGAGAAAACCTTGGCAGGTAGTCCGCAATCTATGTGTACACGGGAGGAAGTTCCTCCGAAACTGTTCGAGACCACTTAGGTCCTAAAGTGTGGGGATGAATTCCCTTTCGATGGCGAGCGGTGCCATGGTAAAAGGTAGCCGTAGGCATCATGCTGAATAATTCATCAAAACACGTTGTATATTTGGTAGAACACATAAAGCGATGCGAAGTCGCCTCAAGCTACGAGGTTCGATACCGCCTGAGATATCAATCTCCTCGTTAATTTTCATTGCTCTAATTCTCAATATTTAACATCTCCCAATATTTAGACGCTCTAAAATTAGTTTTTAAGAATGTAAAAAGAAAATAAAATCCTAGTAGTATATATATAAGTAGGCTCCCTAGACTAAGTAAGATTACTGTATCCTGTACTTTCATAAAAAATGTATGCAAGTAGTGAAAATCTTGGAATTTAACAGCCATGCGCATTAAACACACATTGTTTAAAATAAAAAATAAATACACTGTTACAAGTTTTAAACAGTGTTTATAATTATAATATAATCACTTTCAATCCCAATTGTATTTTGAGGCTAATAGCTACTTAGGTATACACATGTATAAAGAATTGACAACTTGTAGTATGAATAACATCATAAATCAAACCGCTCGTCCACTATTCTAATAATAGGTGAGACAATAATTATTATAATGATTATAGTTGTGGTTATATTTATATATTCTAGACATATAATAACAAATAACTTCATTTACTATTTATTCACTTAATTTCAGCCCGATCCGTCCAGTAGTTTGGGCTGTGCGTTGATAGATCACTATGTCAGTCAGTCACCTTTGAGTTATATATATTTAGATTATTTAGGGACTTTTATCATAATTTATTTATTTATTTACGTCATACTAAGCGAGCATTACAATTCCCAATATACCCACTTAGGAATAGAATAGAATAGAAAATCATTTATTCAAATAAACTTAATTTAAGCACTTATGAATAGTCATAACAATTTGTTCTGTCACATCACAAGAAGAACAAGCAAGAAACTTGTGTGTTGCTCGTTTAGGAAGATTGCATACATATACATATACTTATACACACTAGTTACTATTACTACTACTTATTATTATATACACAGACTTACACAAAGATAAAAAATCTTAATTTCACATTTTACATAAATAATCTACAGCCATCCTATGAAACTCCAGCAAATTACATATAAATATGTTTAGATTAGGAAATCGACTAACTACACCGTTGAGTAGACTCAATGCCAGAGAAATAGGAGCCTGTTTGGCCAGCTCTATCCATGGAACATCAAACAAGTGTCGTCTTCGTGCTCGTACGTAATTATGGCACGTATTATATGATAATGCCAGGCCCATCATATCTTACTACTAATATTCTTTTACTATACAATGAATATACCATGGTACATATCAACATCAGGCCGATTCAGTCCAATATTTTTTATATACAATTCCCTTTTAAGTACGTCGGACATACATATGTTTGCAAGTTTAAATATTCGTGTTATCTTTTGCAGGCGTGAGTCAGCCGGCCAGATACCAAGGTCGGCCAGCATCGACTCCATGGTTGAAGCAGCGATATGCGCCCGCCATTCGGAACCAAGCCAGTCCACCACACTGCAACTGCCCACCAGATCTGACAGAGCGTTCAGTCTCGCTTCACCAGTTGTGGGGCGGAGAGCCAAATCCCAGAGAGGGTTAGCTGGTAAGTTTTTTATTAATTTATTTACTTGTCCCTATCAAAGAAGATATAAAGAAAGCCAGTGGAAGATATACACAGAGATTCGCCGCCTAAGAACCAGCTAGCTTTGAAGCTAGTGGATACAAATAACTGTCGATCAAGACTAAAAAAGCGCCTAGCCTAGCCTGTATCTGAAACAAATAAATAAATTGACACCTGACTGGATGCGCATTATCTCCTAATGCCCAGAATACAACACACTCTGAAAGCTAATTGCAGATAGAAAAGAAGTAAATAAATAAAATATTTGCTTTTTGTTGGGGGCCATAATATACACCTTAAAACATATTATATATAATTAAATCTTTATATATGTTAATCTTATAAATGTAAAAGTAGTCTGGCTATCTATCTGTTTGTTGCCTTTTATGATTCAATGGCTAAACGGATCTTAATGAAATTTCACATTATGTTACATTTTAACAAGTTATAGATTATTTCAAACAGATAGACGAAGGCGATGGTAACTGCTAGTGGTTGATATATAGGTTATAGCTGTTACCGTGAACTTTCTCTGAAATAGAGTTTCTCCCCCATTTCAGATTATTTTACATAGAATAAAAATATCTTCATTCAAGTCTCCTTAAAATCTTTCATCTGTAAAAAGACAGACACACATACATTCTGATTTGTAATATTAGTGTAAGTTTTGTATTAATTAATATTTATTATTAATAAACCTTTATTACATTGGCACGAAAATTTCTATGTTATTAAAGTTTCAATTAAGAAGCCCGATACCTATAGATTTAATAAATTTGATATTTAATTGTTCAATTTAGCTACAGAATTTCAAATTCAAAGCAGCAATTTCATTACAAAACTTTCCTAAGTTTTGAACTATCGATTAAATGTCATGTTCTGGAATCATCGATGTACCCATCACTACAGATTACACCAAAAATTGCAGAATATTCTTAAATAAGTTGTTTACATCAACATATTTTATTTTTGAGATAAAATATAGCTCATTGGATATGAGCCATATTTTCTCGTAATACGTCTATACTCACATCAAATGTTATTAAGATCTGTTTGGTTATGAAAAGGTAAAATACAAATATATTTCATAATATTAGTACTTTGAAGCCTACAAACAACGCCTTAAAATTATATAGTACAGAGCAATATCCATTCCACGTAATTTATCAGTTTTATTTTTGAGTTACTTCCGACGTGTTTAATATGGGCTATAACATAATAACAATATGGGCTCATATTATGTCCAATGTATCTTCACGTTAAATTTCATTAATATCCTATTTTTATCCCTCTAAAATCCGGCATAGACACTTTCACGTTTATAAAATTAGGAAAGATCTACTAATTGTTACTATTTAAATCTATACACTTCAATAAAAGAGATACAAAAATCTACACTTGGGGTATGTGTAGATTATTGTATTTCACGCGCGTTTATAAAGCCAAAAGAAAGAGAAGAATTAGAAAGAGAGCACGCTTGCCGCCAGCTCTTGCAGTCCCGCATTATTCGTTTTTTGCAATAAAAAAATATCACTGCAAAATGGCGGGCGGCTATCCACAGAGCATAGATCTAATTACGGATTGTTGATAACTTAAAAATCTTAATGGTGTCTATAGAAAGTAAAAACTGAATAATATAAAAAATAGTCTTAAAATAAAACCTTAAAGATTTTCATGGAAAGTAAGAACTGATTTTTTTTTTTTAATTTAACCGTCCTGATCACCTGTGAAATACCGTGTCGTGTAATCGTGTATTAGTTACAATTTTGCTAACAGTTTCAAAGAGAAACAAAGGTACAACTGTAATTGTCTAACGCTAAAAGTTTGCGTTGCAAAAATGTAAATTTGAGAGATACGTTTTGTTCTATTTTGCGTACGTAATAACTTCGTTTCCGTGATGAATTGGAAAAAGATTTTTATGATTCGATCTTTTTAGTGATTGACTTTCTCTCGAATCGAATGAAAATATTTACTCGATCAATTCAATATTTATTTTATAGGTGCTGTTATTTTACAATCTATATTAATGATACACCACCTCAACTAGATTTGGGGGACTGCTATTGATGGTTATGGGGAGAATGGCCCCATAGTTAGCAACATACCTATATTATGTAATAGAGGTAGATTATAAAATTTTTTACGTACTTCTCATTAGCAGCCATGCAGTTTGCTCTAAAAGCTGTTTTTCCATTGTAGAGTCGGATTAGTGAGTGAAATGACAGAATTAGGGACATGACATCTTAATCCTCTGAAATAGTGCTATTTATATATATAGTTACCGATTTCCATTATGTGGTCCGAAAGCTAGTTTGGCATTTTCATTATATAAAAATCTGATTTTGCTACCAACGATTTCAATCTTACCATTCTTGTTATCCCTGTGGCTTATTAAGGAAACTGATTTTACCTCATTTCCCCGCAAAATGTCGAAGACTATAATCTATACTCGTGCCACAAGTTGACAATGTAATTCGAATACAGATTTTCCCAACGCTGCTGGCGCGTTTTTATATTGGTTAAAAAAATTTTATAATGGTTAAATTCATTATTTACACGTATACCCTAAGAGGACTGTTAGTGTCAGATAACATAATACTAAACGTTGAATATGGTTTTTTTTTGTTATTTTTAATAAGCTTCGTTTTACATTTTATCTTTAAATTTCATTAATAAAAATCAAATTAGCCATTTGTAGCGCACAAGGCACCGAACCTATGATCTTCTGAAGAAAAATGGTCTTCTATACCGCTAGACCACCGAGGTCGTCAATATATGAATATATATTGAATAGGTGTGTCACATCGAAAACCTATTTGCCTAAAATATGGAATAATTTTGTGATGGCATCAAATATGCCGCATCGTAATGGAAGTTCTTGGTATTACAAATGGGTTTGCGGCAGACCGGGGCGTACCTTGAAACTAAAATCTTGGATTTAGTTCAGACAGAATCCAATATCAATCAATTTGAACTTGATTTTATTCATTTATCACCGAGCCCTGTTTAATTTGTTGTCAATCCAATATTGTGTTGAGGTTGAGGTTGCTATAGTGTGTATTGATTAATTGAGTAAAACCTTTTCTTTGACAAATTTCATTTGTTTAGATTTTGATTTGATTGTATAGATTTTGTATTTTTTTATTTATTTTTTTTAGGAAGATTAAGAGTGTAATTTTACATGTTACTTGTCATATTAAATTGTCCTATGCTAATCATAATCTTCGCTAATAGTATTACTAGATTAAAATTTTCATTGTCCAATTTTAACAAATCAAAGCAATCACGTGACAGTGTCAGTTGTAATTATACAGTACAAGTAAACAAACTAACACACCCATAAGTAATGGTGTATCCACAGAACACACAAATAAGGTACGGCTATATACCGTTAAAGAATTGTTTACATATGAGTTTCCTAACTGAGGCAGTGCTGGAACAAAACATTTGTTATCATCATTTATCATCTAGAAGATCCAGGCGCGCTATAAATTTGTTAATTTTTTAACAAAATTAAAATAAGGTTCTTTATTTGTTAGCTCAGAATTTAAAAGGCCGGCAACTCATTTGCTATTCTTCTAGTGTTACGGGTGCTCATGGGCGGCGGTAATCACATATCATCAGGTGAGCGTTAAACTCATATTCGCCCTATATGCTATAAAAAAACTGCGTAATTTTTATAGGGTATATTAAACTGATTTGTATTTTTTTTAAAAGTATGTCCCTAGTATCATATATGTATATATATAGTTATTCAATTTGTAGCAAGGTACCGTGTCTGGTGGACCTCTATACGATTTCCCTTAGATACCCTCGTGGTTGGGTTGGTTGGTAGCTGACCTGACTTCTTAATTAGATCCGACAGCGCATTGACGGCGAAGTAGTTGAAGAAACAGTTTGAGTAGGAATATTCACCCCATCATTCTCCACTGACTAGGGCCAGCCACCGTATCATAAACGAGAGCACCAGTTCATTATCACCCATTAAAAATTCGACCGTCTTGCGATTAGTATTTTAATAAAAATAATAGCAATATTTACGGTGTACAAACAATAGGCTTCAAATCACTTTTAATGATGAATAATAATCATGTTATATTATTAAAAGGCTCAGAAATTTTCGGCTCTGAAGTAACAAGCCACTTTTATTGCTCAAATTAATTAGAAGCGAATGGAGGTTCGTATAAAGTACTCTGTAATTAATATGAAGCGTGAAACGGACATTAATTCACGTCATTGTGCTCTTTTATAATTTTCAGTACCACTCTACGATACTGCCATGTTAAGATATTGTAGATTATTTTATTTATATTCAAATTCAGGGACTTTTGTGCAAACTAAAAGTACAGGCAAGTCCCATTTTACCGTAAAACTATTTGCTACATTACCTCACCAGTGAACAAATTGCATTAGCTTACTATCTGAAGGATCGGCGAATACGCTTTATATGACACCAACATCCAATATATTTATTATATAGTTTGAGGAATGAATTTATTTAATTACATTATATAACTTTAATGCACGTTACAAAAAGTAACAGCACGTTTGTTACTTTTTCTACTGTATGCATGGTCGCCTTATCGATTGATCCCCCGTCCAAATCAAACGGGGATCGAAATTACGACGGTCTGAGCCGAGGAGCTCGAAATCCTATCAGTGTTCTTATTCTAAAGTTGTATCCGTCAACTAGCTCTTGGCCTTCAGCTGCTCCATAACTCCTTCCGCGGATATAAAGTGTCATCTGCACTCGCCCTTAAGCTGTAAAGGTTAGCTGCGGAAAAAAAAGGAAGAAGAAAAAAAACTACAAGTGGATAAACTCAAATAGTCAACAGAATTAAGTCTTGGGACATAGGCCTCCCCCAAATTTCTCCACGACGATCGGTGCTGCGTTGCTCGCATCCAATGCCTTCCAGCAATCTTGACCAGATCGTTAGTCCACCTTGCTGGAGGCCTTCTCACACTGCGTCTTCCGGTCCGTG